TCTAGCAAGAAAATCTGGGTCCCTGGCTGCGCGCCAATGGTAGCTGGAGCCAGCTCGCAGCAGCCCCCAGGAGCCAGCCGTGCGGTCTCTCCCCAGCCTTGCGGTCAGGAATGTCGCCTTGGTACCTTGAAATTGTCCATGGGGGGAACATTTGCACCATGGAAATTGGCAAACACTGTAGACCTGCCTCCTCCCCCAGGGCTGGCAGTTAGTGTCACCAGCACCCCCTGGCTTGGGCTCCCAAGTCCTGCTGCCTTAGTGTGGTGGTCAAGGCCCCTCGTGTCTTTCTCCTTTAACTCAAAATATGTTATGAACAGAGAGGGAGAGAGAGAAAGAGGGGCATGGAGGGGAGGGACTTCTTGGCCACATAACTGAATCCCCAGGGCGTGTCGAGGCACAGCTAGATCCAGGGGCTCCACCTGTGTCCCCAAGACTGGTCCAGCCCCACCTCCGGCTCCGCCTTCTCCATATGGTGGATCCTGGCAGCTGCAGGCCGGCCTCACCCGTGGAGCTCGCAAACTCGGGAGACAGGAGCTTTCCTTCCCTGGGAGCTGCAGCAAAGGCATTGAGGCTACAGCCGCTGCACCGCGTGGCCCTATCCACGCCTTGTTTCCCTGCACGCACCTCTGAGCCAGTGCTCTGGGAGCTCAGCCTGGGTCACATGGCTGCCCTATGAGCCAGCGGGCAGTTGGCCCCACCAGACTCAGGGCCACACCCCCGGGACGGGAGCTTCTCCAGAGAGACCCCGAGGGCACTGTCCAGAGGGGGTGGCATGCTGGGGGGCCAGAGCCGCCATCTGCTTCGTTTCTCCACTTGGCCTCTGAGAAACACTCGGGGTATTTGTGTGTGATGCCACTTCCCTACCAGCGCCCTTCCCTGCCTTCGCTGTGGCTTTAAGTCATCCCTCTCGTGCCAAAGACCCCCTTCCCATCCTGTCTTCTGCCTCTGGACCCTGCCCCCATGCCCGGAGCGCACCCCTGCCCACCCAGCACCCTTTCCGTGCTATGGAGGTCACTGCGAGTTTGTGCCTTGTCCTCCACCTCCTACAGCTTCCAGCACAGCTTTTGTGCCGTGGTGAGGACGTGGGGAGGTGAAGGGGACATGCCCGGCTCCTCCATCCCAGAGTTGCGTAGGTGGTCGGACGCCTGGGTGTGGGTGACAGACTGCTACTCCTGAGTCTGTGGCAAGCCCTCTGAGCCTCGTTCTCTGCGTCTGTCACCTGGGCGTGATAGCAGGACTGCCGCGCTGGGGGCCGGGGTGCCGTGCACACAGGAGGTGCTCAGATGGTCACTGATGGGTCCCCCTGGAACTTTTCTCCTCGCCGACACTTGATGTTTTCTGTTTTCTCAATAACACTCATCCTAGGCGATGTGCAATGGTATGAAACCAGTTTCTTAAATGAGTTTATTTAATGACCAGGTGTCCCGAAAGTCACCATATGCAGGGAAAATGGGAAACTGTAGCTAAATATACCTTTATTTATGAAATATTCATTACAAAATTTCACAAAATTTTTCCTTTGTCTGGAGACTTTTGGGACACCCTATAGTATATCCCAAACATTATTTCAGCGAGTGAAACATATTCAGAGTATTAACTGGATACTTTACAAGCTTCACTTTAATTTCGGAGGAAGCCTTTGAAATCCGGTGTGCGTGATGCACTGACAGCCCGTCTCGGCTAGGACCAGCCACGTGACGGGGCTCAGTGGTGGCGTGGCCTTGGCACTCGTGGGCAGCATGGCTCTGGGGGCCTCTGGAGCTCTTTCTAGCTCCAGAAAGCGACAGGTGGACACAGCTTACCGAGTGTGATTTTAGGGCCTGCAGTTTTATCGGTTTTAATAAAGGGGTTTTTTCAAGGGGGTGGAATCTTTGCACAGTTTTTTCCTGGCTTGCTGCCGTTGGGGAGAACGGGGTGTCTGTGCTCAGATGCGGAGGCTGCACATCTTGGGGGCTCTTCCAGCCGCTGGTTTGAAATGACTTTGGCCCCGAGGATGGGCTGAGTAGGGAGGTGTTTGCAAACACCGATTTGGCACGCAGCAAGACTGGCCCGCCCTGGCGTCACTGCTCGACAGAATGCTCTGCAGCCCACAGAGCTGACCGTGGGCGCGTGCACAAGACCCAGACCCTGCCGCCTATTTCCTCCTCCTCAAGACAGGCCTCTGCTGAGCTCCGGGACACTCACCCTTTCCCTCCCAGTCTGCGCTCTCTCTTCTCTCCCTCCCTCCCTCCCCTCTTCCCTGTCACCAGCCAAGCTGCTGAGGTCACCTCTCCTACCTTGAGCCAGCTGTGGGGTGTGGGGCCCCAGCACCAGCTGTTTGCTCTAAAAATAGCACTAGGTAAGCGAGCCCCGGCAGGTGCGTGAGCGAGGCCATCAGAACACGCCCCTCAGAGGTGATTGTCAGCAACTGTCAGCACGTGCCCAGCCCTGTTTCCGGCTGGAACGCATTTATGTGTCAATACCTGACGGTGCTGTAAGTTAGCACCATGGATTTGGGAGGAAACCTCTAGCTACTTCCCTCTCGGAATGTCGCTTTCTCTCCACTTGTAGCTTTTGTTTTGCTGGCTGGAGGCGGACGCCGTGTGGCAGGGAGGGGTACCCCTCCTGTGT